GAGAGGTGATGTATCATATCCATTTGGAAAAAACAAGATATACCCTGAAGGGTTCCGTTAAAAGATTTTGGGACAATTGGTGTCCTTTCATGTTGTATGTGGAAAAATTGTCAGTGACCGTTTAATTTATGTATGTATGTGTGACTGATCCGGTATGGGAGGGAAGGGGTGGGGAGCTTGTTCTTTGTTCTGTTTTTTTGTTGTTGTTGTTGTGTGCCCATGAACAAAAAAAAAAAAAAATCAATAAAAAAAGACTGTTAAAAAAACTGACAAAAAAACAACTAAATACAAAAAGGCTTCCATTGTACTAACTTCTGACTGACCGTAATGTTACCGGTAATTATCTGCATGTTTAAATTTTAAATTGAAACTTAGCAGAGTTTATAAAAGGTTTTACAATGCGGTTCTCGTTCACTCATCACTGCATTACAGGCTGCCGTCATTGAGAACAGTTTGGAGTTTACATCTTAAAGCAGCTTAAAAACTATTATTATTGTTGAAGACTGAAGTGCATTTTATTTCCATTAACCATTTACTTGTTTTTCAAAATGTTTATCTAGAAATTAAAATCCTAAATCAAAGCTCCATATGTTTTAAGACACAGTAGGAACAGTAAGGCAGAAGCATCGCCAAAAATGTGCTTGTTTAATTGTATTTTTTCTATTTTTATAGGTTTACTGCTTCTAAGTATTTTAAATATAGCTTGACTCCACCTAAACTATGTAAACCATTTGTCCAATTAGGACAAACTTGAAGTTTGTTTGTTGTTTAATCCCAGGGAGTGGTGTCAGAGGTCAGAGAAGGCGAGCATGTGATCGGGAGGTCAGCTTACATTACATGCCGACTATTTCGGGTCTATTAGTACCTCGCATCGCGGCCCACAGGTGGATTGGCTTCAATTCCCTTGCCACCTCGGTTCATTCAGAAATCACACCGAGGCAGACAAAAGGCGTGTGCGTAAGTCCCGACTTGAAAAGTGAAATTGCTTTTTGTTTCACCTTGAGTTTTCACTGTTAGAGCAGGAAAGCACCTAATCAAACACACTCTGGTGGACAGACAATAACTGGAGTTCAGATAGTTTGTTATAAAACCGACTCCCCCCCCCCAAAAAAAACAAAAAACAAAAAAAAAAACAGATTCAGGTACGTAGAAGATGAGATGAGTCAGACTTTGAAAGACATGTTTTTTTTAATTGAAATGAACTACAAAAAGTGAGACTGTGCAAAATGAATTGCATCTCCGTCACAGACGAGTGCAGCTGTACCAACGCTCCAGTCAACAAAGCTTCTACAGGGGGGCAGGAGAGCACACGCTGACCTTCAGTTTGAGACAAAGATAACATTTCATACACTTTGATATAAAGCAGCAGCTAAAAAGGAACCGTTGGGAGCTCAGTGATACTCATCACATCACTTTGGCTGCTCCCAAAGGTAAAAATCACAGCGAGGACAGGGAGGTTAAATGAACTTAGTCCGAAAAAAGCACTTGAAGCCATGCATGGCTGAAGGGTTAAGCATGAGGCTTATAAAGGTCAGGACTGCCTTATTTGCTGGCATAGCAGTTCAGTCCAAACAGAACAGATGTCATTTGTTTACCTGCAGGGAAAAAGACCTACACCGACGTCTGCTCCTTTGTGGCTCAGGTGGCAGATGATGATTTTAGGAAGAGGCGCTCAAAAGGAATCTGGCTCGCAGCAATCGAATGGACTAATGAAAGCAATAGAACGTAAATTGAGAAGCAATGCAATCTCTAGTCAAATGCCCTCGCCGGTGATGATGTTGGAATGATTTTGGTACGACCGGGCAGGGGCTGAAAAATAATCACAGTCAAATAGAGACTGCTGCAATAAGCAGTGCACCTGCTGAAAATGGCCACTTTCTGCATCAGGACACAAACAGCTCCAAGCCTTGGGATTCTGCTGTTTGTTTTTGTTTTTTGTTTGTTTGTTTGTTGTGTGATTATGAAGCATTCACTGTTGTGATCATTTTTTCGGCATCTTTCATGTTCCACAATTTTTGTGCTATTTTAACAAAGGTTTTTCTTTCAGGACAATTCTGCTATGACTTTTGGTGCTGGTGCAACTTTAGCTTTTTGAAATATTTAGTCTTTTCTGCCACTTTTTTAATCTCATAGAAATTTAATTGAGCATCCTTCAAAGATCTGTTTACAACCTTTTACTGCTCTTTTCACATCTTGTTCTGGTTCAGCTTCTTTCAGCTTCTTCGTGCAAATGCAAAAAAAAAAAAAAAATCACCTACTTTCAGCTGATTTCAGCTGTTTTGCACTTCTTTCTGATTCTTACTGATAACTACCATTTTTTTCCGACTATAAGGCGCACCAGATTATAAGGCACATTAAGTGAAACATAACAGTCGGATAAGTCGAACTTTATTCAACTCATTCACAATAACCACATAAAATTGGCTCGAGGTCACTAAGCACAACCAGAATTAATACATAAGGTTCACTGGATTATTACGTTCACTGTCGATTTTTGAGAAAATTTAAGGATTTTAAGTGCACCTTATAATCTGAAAAAATGTGGTACAACATTTTTGTGCGTCTTCTAACTTCTTTCAGCTAATTTCAGCTTATTCATGCAAGTTTCAGCTTTTTATGCTATTTCAGCTACTATTAAGCTGTTTTATGCTAATTTGAGCTTTTTCAGCTAATTCCACATCATTTGCATTCATTTCCACTTTTTTCAGCCTAATTCAGCAAAAATGTTTTCTCTCCACTTTGTTCTGGTAATTTAAGATTCTTTCTGCATTTTAAGCTACTTTTTAGCTGGGTTTTTTTGTATGCTAATTTAAACTTTTTCAGATAATTTTCACATTTTTGTGCTCATTTCTGTTCCTTTCAACCTAGTGGGGCAAGCGTGTTCTTTCTGATTTCTGATGCTAATTTAAGCTTGATTTTCCTTTTCAGCTATGTTTTTAGCATTTTTAACTAGTTTCAGATGTTTTTTAGATGAATTCAAGATTTTTTGTTAAAAATTCTGCTACTTCCAGCCTAATTAACTTATTTCTACTAATTTTAACCTGTTATGCTCCTTTCAGCTTATTTCTGCTAGTTTCAGTTATTACATCTACTATATACAGTAGATGTTTTGTTATTTTTAGCTTTTCAGCTTATTCCACATTTTTAAAGCTAATTTCAGTACTTTCCACTCCTTTTTGTAATTTAAGCTTTTTAATGCCTTTTCAGCCTTTTTTTGTTGCTAATTTCAGCCTTTTTTAGGTAAATTGGGAAATTTTGTGCTAATTTCAGCTTATTTAAACTTAATTCAGCAAATATTTTCTCTTTCTGCTTTTTTCTGGTAATTTAGGCTTGTTCTTCCTTATCTGCTAAAATTCAGCTTGTTTTTAGCTAATTTCAGCTGTTTTTCAGCAAGTTCGTCAGCAATAAGCATTCACACTGCATTTTCGCAGAAAACGCAATGTCTCTAGTTTGATTTGTTTCATAAAACAACTTAAACCAACAGACCAACTTAAGGATAAGCTCAGAGACCTTTACCTTTCCGTTTCTTTTAGATTGTTGATACAAAATACCAGTGGTTCAAGCACAAGAATAATTTATAATCACATTTAACTTTAGTTGTTTGAAATGTCCACGTCTCCTTATGGGTTTCATTCTCTGCAAATGTCTATGTGAAGAAGTTCTTTAAAATCTTGTGCGACGAGAAAACATGACATGTTGTCTCGAGGAATGTGTTTAGATTTGTCTAAAGATTTAAACAAATGAGTTTTGCAGAATTTTGCATATCGCGGTGCATTTTATACCAAAAAACTGGCAGCTTGAGAACATGTTAGCTGTAAGTCTAATGTAATTTGATACAGCTAGGGCAAAATAAGTTTCTCGTTAAAACTCTGGATTAGCAAAAATCCATAAACACCAGGATTTCAAAAGAAATAGGTGCCTATACATGTGTGGGTGACTTTCTTGAATCCAGCTCCAGCTACATTACGACTTCCCCTGCAGGTCATAGAGCAAGTCTTCCAGTCAGACATACCCCAGAAGGCCTCATCAGACACAGAAGCTCGATCCTTGACATTAGCCCAAACTCCCCCAACTGGCTTTTGATGATATGAACTCGACTTTGAGCTCTTCTTCCATACAGTCAAACTGCAACCTGCTGGTCCCAGCTTGGTAAAGCTAAAACGGCCATGTTATTAGAAAACGGAAAGATGTAAAAGCAGACGCTGTCATTGAAACTCTTCCTATGAAGGGTATGAACAGATTGTGGGACAAAAAGAAGAAACAGCATCTGAAATGAGTTTAACACAAAAATATTCTATTTCTGCCATTTTTTATTGCTGTTTTTACAGTTCACTGCAAGTCAAACGATGCTAAAAGGAAGAAATCCTGTTAGTTTTGTTTTTCTATAGGTAATTTTCAGTGACCATAAGAATAAAAACATAAAAAAAACAACTCGAGGTTCTCATAACGTCATTGCTTTACAGTGCACGTAAACACATCCAGTTACTGCATGTCTCTTACAAAAGCATTAGAGGAGGAAATTGTCTAAAATACGTTTCTCATCCTAACATATTTTGGCAACTACACAAAGCAAAGCTCTTCACTAAACTCCCAAAATGCAAAGCATAATCCCCTCTTTTTTTTACATTTCAAACCAAATTAAATCAGGCAAGATTCACGTTAATAAAACACAAAGCCAGAGTGGCACAACACGCGAGAAAGTAAAGAGGATGCTGAGACTAAATTTGGAGATTAGACAGCGTACACCAGAGCATCTATAATTCATGGGATTGTTTGCGGCTGCGCTGACTGCTCATCTGATTGCTACACCGCTGAGGCCTTGTGCCGATATTTGCATGGAGAAAAAAACATTTGAAAAAATAATAAAATAAAAACTCATACAAACTCCTGACTGCCGTTCCTTAGCAACAACAGAGCAGGGAGTTTCAAGGAACATGGCCTTGTGTGTGTGTGTGTGTGTGTGTGTGTGTGTGTGTGTTTGTCCAGCTAATTGTACTTACTTATTTTGCATCATGTTCATTATGATCCAGTCTGAGGGGTAGACGTTTTTCCCAATGAGATCTTTAAACATGATAAATGTTTCCATTAAGAAATCCTGTGAGAGAGAGAGAGAGAAAAGTTTTCAAAAAAGAAAATAGTTATTGTATTCCACCAAAAGGTTAAGAGCCACCTAAAGTATGAAGGTGGGAGTTCGTGGATTTAAGGCAGAAACAGCTTTTTACTATGGTACTTTCCGGTGTATAAGCAACTACTTTTTTCACGGGCTTTGAACTGCGCAGCTTACACAATGGTGCGGCTAATTTACGGATTTCATTTTTAATAAGCTAACGAGCTTTCTGCCTCCAAAAACATTTAGCGTCGTCACACCCGGGCGCTCATATAGCTGCCCAATGCACGTCTCTCATGTGGGGTGGGTCCTCGTGACTCTGTGAGACTACCTGTATAAATAAAGGTTAAAAAAATAAAAACATTTTGACCAGTGAAATTACTGAACAGGTCACAGTCGAGCCAATGAAACGGGAAGTGGAAGAGAGAATGGGGAGGGGGAAAATCCCCCTGCATGTGCACAGCATGTGAGTCTCACATGTTCACAGAGCATTATTTTGCTCTGGAGCAGGATAACAGTATGAAGATGGCGATCAATGACTTCCTGGTAAGCTACTGTATTTTTTATTTTTACCAGCCGTGTTAAAGGCATTTTTCAGATAAATAAAAAAATACTGTACTGTACATATTTGTGTATGATACTGGTACATATTTATAAAGTTTTTAAAAATCTTTCTGTGGAAATATCTCATGTTACAACATGAACTGTTTTTCTTAGACATTTTATTGTTGGATGTAACTGGGACCCTGTGTACATAATTTCGCTCCACCACATGTACCACATGAGGTGCGAATGACAATAAAGAAACTCTGACTCTGACTCTGAACACCCGCAGCTTATACACAGGCGAGGCTTATATAAAAACTTTAAAAAAAATGTATTTGGTGTGTGCAGCTTATATTCGGGTGCGCTCTTTAGACAGTAAATTACGATAGTTTTTAAGATCAAGGGAATGATGAGGAGCTTTTTCTTATTTTTAAAGGTGAACAAAAACTGATAATCTAGAAGAAGGTTTGCAAACTCAATCATCCATCCAGGTAGATAATAATATAAAAAAAAAAAGGTTAAATCAGGTCATCTGGACCAGGACGAAACGCTTCTCACTTAAAGAAACTGGTCCAGATGACATGACAACCTTTTTTTGTTGTTATCTACCTGGATGATTGAGTTAAACCTTTTTCTGAACCACTTTTGCCTTGGATGTCCTAAGGCTGTTTCTGTGAGCAGCAAGTCGGCCATCAGGCATAAAACATTTGATTGTTGTACGTGATGACTGTTTTGGATGGGTGTGTTTTGCATGTGTTAAAAGCCTGCTTCTGAGATGCCAACAGTAGTGAAGCTACTTATGGGACAGATGTGGTTGGCAGGCTGCAGACCAACGAAGTCCTCCGGATCAGGGACGAAATGTTTCTCACTTAAAGAAACTGGTCCAGATGACACAATTTAGCCTTTTTTGTTGATAATCCAGAATATTTTTTAAGCTAAAATGTGACATTATAATGAGAATACGATTATGTGATTGGAGCATGACTTTACTGGTGATTAGGACGCTACTTCTGCGTGGTCATTTATTCAGGACAAAGTCAAAATAAACTTTTTATTTTTTAAGTTAAATGCATTTTGGTGGGTCCTTTTTCCCCCTCAAACTCATGCAACTAATTTACAAAGCAGCTTTTCCTTTTGTTTTGTTTAAGATTATGCCATTCCCACATTACACACATTTCTTTTCAACACAAGACCAGATAAATACCTAAGGCATAAATATGCATGTACATCTATTTCTATCTGAAATCGTTTACTCCTTGATAGATGAATCCCTGTGCGCTGTGTTGGTTGACACGAGCAAAAAAAGAAAAAAGGCCACAAAACAATAAAGTCCTTTGGGTTGCATCAAGTTCTGAAATGTGCTTATGGCTCACAACTTCTCTAAAATAGAAATTGACAAGTAGTCTTTAAGTCGCAGTGCAAAATTATGAAGGTCAAAAACCACAATTATTTTTATTTATGCCCTCTAATATTTTTATTTATGCGTCTTTCCTTCAAAATAGTTCCTGTAACATACAAAAAGAAAGTCTGTATATAATAAAAAACCCAAAAAGTCAAAACTCAGGGTCTTCTTGTGATTTATTAATTTCTACCTGAAACGCAAATCTGATTTTTGCCCTTCCTTCAAAGCTCCTGAGTCACCAACAGGGAAATGTATTTATTTATTTTTGTTGGAGTGGAGTAATAGAATGCTAATCTGGCAGCGGCTGCTAGAGGAATACTGCTTTGAGGGCAGGATTATTCAGAGCCGAAATCCAAAACCTCTGAAATGTATCCCTCCTCCACGAGTCGGCTGCAACAAGTGATCCATTTTCTCAGATGCAACTATCCTCGTGAGCAAAGTGTTTCTGTAGAAGCCCAAAGGCAAGGACTCAAATAAATTTAATTTTATATATTATAAAGAAAAAAAGGACCCAATATATTATTTTCAGGAAAGACAAAGAAAACAGGACTTGGACAGACAATAGGGAATTATAGGTTTATTATACAAGAATGTAGACGGCATTTCTCACAGTTCTTCTGATGTACTCACCACAACATCACTCGTTATCATGCCAAAGGTGCTGATCAGATGAGTGTAATGATAGTCATCCATCTGTCTCAGTGTAGCAGTCATGCAGGCTACGAAGCTGCCCTGCGGAAGGGAAAAAAGTGCATTCAGTAGACAATCTAGTTTGAAATCAAATGCTGAGGACAAAATGGCTGTGCCTGTGATTTTGAGCTGATTGGATACAAGGACCGACGCAGGCTCGGCCTTCCTGGTTTGACCAGGAGGGCAACCTCACCGGGTGGTTGATCTCATTAACCTGCTACCCTCCACTCCTCCAGCTCTTTGTCTTCCCTGATTAAAAACCAAGTGAGTTCCCCAAAGTGCTGCTTTTGCCTTGCAGTGCACCGTCCTGGCTTTGGTTACAGGAGCAGAGTGTAAATTTACTGCCAAGGCGAGATAAGAGAAAGCCAATGTGTGGCTGGCTGGGTGAAAAGAGGCTGCTAGAGCCCGTCTGTTGTCATTTCTTTGACACAAATGGACAAAGAATGATGCGTTCAGGATTAAAAAAAAGGTAATAACAACTGAGAGTGTAGGCAAATATATTGGAGGAGCTTGTCCAGACCATTAGTGTAACAAGAGGATGAGACACTGTAAGAAATTCAGTCGTGAGTAATTACACAGGAGATTTATGCAGAGAAGCAAGATAATCAGCTACCAAGAGACAATTACAAGAACAAAAGAAAAGCAGAGAAAGTTGGCAGAAACATGTTATTTGCTAATAACTGACAAAAGATGTGGGAGTTTAAAAAAAATGTCTAAATGAAAAGTAAAGTAGCTTGAACGAATGCAAAACATCTTTGATTATTTCTGACTAAATACAAACTAAAACACTGATTTATTGAAAGTAATTTAAGTAAAATAAATGATTGAGGGAGTGGTGGTGAAGAAGTTAGAGAAGGTGGATCTGTGATCGGAAGGTCTCCGGTTCAAATCCCGGTACAGACAACATCAAAAGTCAGGGTGGGATAGGTGAAGCATCCACACCTGCCTCCACCCTCATTTGCTCAACTCTGGGCCCTTAACCCTCATCAACTGATTAGTCTCTTTAGAATGACTTGTTCAATTAGCTTTGTAGAGATGTAGTAGAGTGCTGTATGAATGGGTAAATGAGGACACAGATTGTTTTGTAAAGCACTTTGAGTATCTTGAAATAAGATAGAAAGGCGCTATATAAGTACAGTTCATTTACCATTTACCATCCCCCAGGCACCCCAGATAATAGTTCTCTGCTCCACACAGAGGGCTGTGGTAGCTTAGTTCGCTGTGGCGACCCCTGACAAAGGGAGAAGCCGTAAGAAGAAGAAAAAAATTTAATAAATAAAGGTCAAAATTCCCCGATGCCTTTAATGCTTAAAATAGGGTACAGAGCTGAATCCTGTTGAACCTAATATCTGTCAATCTGACTTTGGTATGGCCATTCTTGTGCTGGCAATGTAGGAAAGCCGTGGCAGTTAGGCCTGTCACGATAACAAATTTTGCTGGGCGATTGTC